AGCTGTGGTGAAACTACACATCCCATGATGCATCTCTCTCCAGGAGTCATGTGTGTGGCTGTGAGAATGTTGCAATGCATCATGGGATTTGTAGTTTCACCACAGCTGGAGGACCAGCTTTTGCCTACCCCTGATCTAAGGGGCCAGGGATGCTGGCTAACATCAATGTCAATATCTATAGCAGGGCCAAGGAAATGTCAGCTGTGGGCGAGTGAGCGACCGGGGCAAGATCGATATGTTTTTGTCGTCAGCAAGTTGATGTTCATCAATGGATCTTCATTGCTGAATGACATGACTGGTGATAGATTAACACCGTGGGGCATTATATTGGGGTGTTTTTAGTAGACCCCTTTTCCAATGGTGTCAGTGTTATTATTTACTTTATAATTTTTTTTGTGGGTTCCCCTTCAAATCCATACCAGATACTCATCAAGGATATTTGAAGATTGCTGTGCAAAGGGTGGGATGGAAATATCACCTCGGTACAGTTCCTCTTTAAAGTCTATTTTAACTTCGCTACCATTCACACTTGCATGCATGCTGTTACACCCGCACAGCTGCAAACAGAGCCGCCTGCTCATTTTAAAGGGCTGCCCTACGCATGACAGTCACACCAAACACCTCCCTGCACCTTGTTTTTTTCAAAGCGTGCCACAGCAAAACACAATGGAGGAATTGATCAAAACTGGAGCAGAGAGAATCTGCAGCAGCTGCCCATAGGAACCAATCAGCTTCTCTCTTCAGTTTGCTCAGTTGAAAATGAAAGATGTTAAAGCTGTTTGCTATCTGCAACTGCTCCAGATTCTGTCTGCTCAAGTTTTGATAAATTCCCCCCAAGGTACTTTGCTAGCCTCTGCTTTAGTGCGATTTCATGAACCTGAAAGCATATGGTGTAGCAAGGTGCATTGGGTACCCTTAACAATGAATGACATCACAGCAAACCTAGAAGCCTATGTTCAGGAGAAGAAAAAATTGCCCCCACACTGAAAGGGTTAAGTCTCCTTACATTATTTTTAACCCTTGCAGTGGGGCTACCCCCGCACTGCAAGGGTTAACTGCTCATTTTTGTCTAGGGCTGAAAATAAAAAAAGTTATACTCACCCGATCCTTAGGCCCCGTTCACATATAGTGACTTGTCGCGCGATTTACGCCACGATATCGCGCATTTTTGCCGCGCGATATCGCGAGAAGTCGCCGGCCAATGCTATTCAATGGAGCTGTCTTAACTCCATGTCGCTCGTCGCGGTCGCAAGTCGCTTCTACCGGACCCTTTTTTCGGCGGATTTTGCGCGCTTTTGCTTTTTTTCTATGGAGCCCGACGGAGAAGAAGATCGCGCTACCGTCGCTGGAACGTCGCCCCGAAAGTCGCGCTATCCCGGCCGCTGCAAAGGTATGTCGCTACATGTGAACGGGGTCTCAAAGCTAGTAGCGCTTCCTCTATTGCAGTGAGGCTATGTGCCTCGGCGTCCTCACATCCAATGCACTGTATTGGACATGATGACTTGAGAATCCTTAGGCTCTATTCAAACGTGCGGAGCTGCTCTAAATAAAAAAACAATGCACTTCAATGTGCATCGTTCACACCATTGCAGGCACTGTACGTAACATGACCCCCAAAAATAGTGCAAGCACCATAATACGGCCGATTACGCACATTTGCAGCTATTTAGAACTGCAAACGATATGTGTGAACGCAGCCTCAGACTGCTGCAGTGGAGAGGGAGAGGCGCTGGAAGGATTGACATGCATGCATGCAGCATTTTTACTTATCTGATCACCATTCCCCTGGCAGCAGGTGATCACCTTGTCTCCCCTCTGCTCTGGTTTGTGGATTGTCCTCATTGTCTGCATTACGGGCCCTACATTGTACGTGATAACATCAGTGAGCCTCCGACTGCCAGAACACAGGGGTGGTAGAGGCTAAAGGTGCCCATACACCTTACAACCATCGCAAGACTTTTGTCTTGCGATGGTCGTAAGCTAACGAAAAGCTTGTACGATCCGCCCATCTTGGACAGGTAGATCATACTTGCGATCATCGAAAGCCCGACCCGCTGAGAGGCGGGTTTCCGACAAGCTCAATGCTGAATGGGCTAGAAACCCGTTTTCTAGCATGCTGGTTCGACAAAAGACGTGCGACCGTACAGTAAAAACGGTCGCACGCCTTCCATACACCTTGCGATTATCGTACGATCGCGGGATTTCCCGCGATTATCGTACGATAATCACAAGGTGTATGGGCACCTTAAGACTGCCGATTCTGGAGCCTGTGGGGATCAGGTAAGTAAAAGTCTTCTACGCAGGTCTCCGGGAAGTAAATGAGCCCCATACAAGGGGAAATTCCCCCCCTAAGGCTTTAAAAGTGACATGTTTTGGCACCCTACAAAAACAGGGGTTAAGAAAATAATCCTAACCACAGGAGCAGTTTGGTTTCCAGATTGTAGTGAAGATAAATATAAGCACACTTACTGTCAAAAGTAACAGAAGCTTGTACTGTGTGATAGATAGATAGATAGATAGATAGATAGATAGATAGATAGATAGATATAAATATTGATTAGCAATGCTAGAACAGACACAGCAGAGGAGTGGATCTCATTCATTAGTCAGGCCAATGCTCAGCTCATTCACAGACAGATAAGGAGAGGTCAGTGTACAGATTACACACATGTCAGAGTGGTCGTCCCCCCGTGTGACTTACCACATTCCTCCATGTCCCAAGCGGAGTCAGACTCCCTGTGACCGCAGCCCCCACTGATTGCAGAGCTTGTATGTCTGCCCAGGTCCGTGTGCAGCAGCGGGGAGGACTGGTGCAGGCTGCCCTCTCCTCCTCCCCCGCTCCCAGTCACCCCTCGCCCAGGTCCCTGGGTCACTAGCAGCAGAAGAGTGCATAGTACAGCCACATAGGGTGCCATCATCTCCCCCCAAGTCTCCGTACAGTTGTGTGTACATACACTGCCCTGAGCCACGCCCCCTCCTCTACTGCCGCAATGAGCTCCTGGGACATGTAGTACTCAGCCGATGTTACTGGTCTGTGTCTAGTCGCGGCAGCGCCAGTGATACTGCGACTCCCGTGAGCCTCTGCGCTTCATTCACCAAGCAGGAAGTGGAGGAAACGGTGCTTGCTGTCAGATCAGGAGAGGCTGCAGCGTCTGGGGCAGTTAGGTGGGTGTGTCGTGGATCAGCCACACGGTCACCGTCACTTATTGTATACAGAGATGTTTATGTGGATTATGTATGTATGTCATGTGTTGTATGTGTTGATATATGTATGTCATGTGTTGTACGTATTGATATATGTATGTCATGTGTTGCATTGTATTGTGCTGTATTGGACAAGAATCAAGTGTTGTGGATCAAGCCATAAAGGTGCCCATACACCTGACGATTATCGTACGATAATCGCAGGTGATCCCGCGATCGAACGGCAGGTGTATGGGCAGCGTGTGACCGCATTTACTGTACGGTCGCACGACTTTACACGACTGTACAGTTTTCGGCAGGTTGGTAGCGCGATCGCAAGACGAAAGTCGCACGGGCCGGTGTGCGCAAGTGCACACTGCCCGCTCAACATTGCAATCGTTGGCAAGCCCTCCCCTCAGCGGGGAGGGCTTGCGATGATCGCAAGTACGATCTGCCTGTCCAAGATGGGCAAGCGGTACGAAGTTTTAATCACCTTACAACCATCGCACAACGAAAGTCGCCCCCTACCCCCTTTACATATTTACAAGTAATAAAGTGTGTTGTGCTGTGAAAACTCATATTTTGCATGTTAGTTTAGTCTTAATGGCACCCCAAAGCAAATTGTCAATGTGTGTTGCAGCACAACAATGTGCTGTTGTGTTACCAACAAAAAGTACATGCATCATTCATTGGTGCATTTTGTTGTGTTAGGGTCACCCTACAGATTAGAATCTGTCCATGCAATCTTTGTACAATCAACTTTAGATTTACCAAAACTATGTCATATGAGGACCAAGCTAAACTATCAGATCAGTTTGTATCCAATCAGACAGATCATTGCATCAGATTGTTGTGTGTGGGGAGCTTCACACAACATGTGACATAACGCATTAATCCACCTGGCGGCAGGGTCCAGTGTTCACCTCTTCTCTTTGATGCTTCAGGTTGTGTTTAGGCCCTCACCATCCCCACATACAATGCAGTACTATTGGCCCTGCATTGTATGTGATATTGTATTTTATTGTATTCAGCCGGCATTCACAGCTGTCAGAATACAGTGCCTGCAGCTGTGCCATCCATGTTTTTCGCTGCCGTCGACGTATGCCATGTGTCAGTGGGTCATTGTAAGCAAGAGCCTGTTCACACGTGTAAAGTTGACTGTTGGCTTTACAGTGGAAGCCGACCGATCACTTCCATGGACTGTCAAATATGGGGCTTCTGAGCACTAAAATGAATTTAAGTGTATTTAGTTATTGAACATTTTGGTTTGATAAACAGTTGGGTCAATATCATACAACATAAGAAATATATTGTGAAGTATTTTCTGAAAGCAGGGACTCTGCTTTCAGAAAATATATAATTTTTGGGAGGCAATTTTCAGGCCTAAAATGTGCATTTTAAGAAGTGTGCAAAAAATGCAAAAACACCTCCAACAGCAAAAGGGTTAAATCAGACCTGGCTGGGTCTGCCTGGAAATGTGAAAGTCAGAGGCATTCATTAGCCAGTCAATACCTCTCACATTTCTGGTCTCACAGCTGCGGTATGGAAGAGAAATTGATACATTTCTCTCCCTTATAATGTTATTGTTGATCGTAAACACCAAAGTCACAGATATTAGAGTAAGTTTCCTTCTGCGTAATTAACCATTTTATTTCATGCCCATTCCATCTGTAGAACATTGTACATTATGCCTAACAAATGTCCATATAATATATTAGGTGCATATTTTTCTTATTCAGCTGTTGTATGTAAATTTGAGCATTTCATTTTATTATAGCATTTGTTAAATAACCTATTGATGATTTGTTGACAGGCATCCTTTAATTACAAAGCAGAGTTACAGTATGTATGGAAAGCATGAAAATGAGAAGCCAATATTTCGCTGCATTGAATGCAATGAGGAGTGCAATGAACTGTACAGAGATTACAAACATGGAGTACTGAAGATCACTATCTGTGTAAGTTTGACTGAGACATGGGATAATTTATTCCAATATGAACTTTGTGAATTGTTATAACTTATTTTCTCTGGGTTGAGAATATTTGAACAGTCTATGGGCGGCTTTGTTATCTTGTGTTGACCATTTGATGCACAGCAGTAAGTTGATGAATTAGTAGCTTCCAGCATTGTGAGATCTGGACACAGAAATGAGATCTTTCATGTTGCCAGCTTCAGTGGCCAGTAATGTACGTATGGTATTCCAGGGGTTATTGTAGGTTATGTAGTAAATAAGGGGTTACATTTTAGGGTAAGAGCAAGGGTGTCAAAGTAACCGGCCCACAAACCGGAACCATGCGGCCCGCATTTGACTGACAAGTCAGACATGCAGTAACGGACCACATACCTGAATTGGGGGAGCAGCTACACGGTCTGCATCTCTGTCAGATGCAGACCGCATAGCTATTCCTGGGGGTGCTGGCACTCAGTGTTAGTCAGAGTGGCGTGTGCTCTGACAGCCTTCACTGAGCGCCGGCCAAAAGGAAGGATTAGTAAGGTCTATACCAGCTAAAGGTGCAGACTGTACTAATCAACCACTGGATCACCAGGGAATGTGCCTCCTCCCTGCAAAAAATGTGAGCAGGCGAGGGGGTGCTTTTATTTTAAGAAGGTGTGAGTGTGTGTTATTGTGTGGGTGTGTGTATTTCTCTGTGCGTATTTCTGTGTGTGAGTGAATGTGAATCTGGTCCTCTATGATTTAAATTGAAACCTGTGGGAAAAAAACCACACACATATACTGACACTGCACACATATACATACAGATATGACACACACAGAAATATTAACACACATACCGACATCACTCACTGAAATCCTGACAGTACACACACAAACCATCACAAAAAAATATACTGACGTTGCATACAAAGAAACCACCAAAAACACATATACTGACATTATAAACACACGCCGCAGACATTAACACTGGTACCGTATATAGTTAAATTTTGTTTTAAGTAGGGATGTCCCGATGCCACTTTTTCAGGCCCAAGTACAAGTACATCCCCTCATGTACTTGCCGATACCAATTACCAATACTTTTTCTTAAAGGGACAGGTGACTTTAAATGATCCATAGTACAACTACATGTTATGTACTATGGATCATGATTTAACCTATTCATGTTAGCAGAGGATAATTGTAAATCTATTGTTGGAATGTAGTAGAGGTGTGTGCTGTATATATGTGCTACATACTACATATACATTACACACGTCCAGTACACTCCAGCAATAGATTTACAGCCAACCCCGTCCCAGCTTCCCTCACACACAGTTTCACTCTGATCCCTGTTGCCTCACGCGGTGCCTCTCGTAGTCGGCGCTGGGCAGAATCGCTGCATCGCGTCTCGGTGCTCAGCTTGTGGGAGGCGCTCACAGTTCTGCCCTGCTAACATGAATAGGTTAAATCATGATCCATAGTACATATACAGCACACACGTCCAGTACACTGCAGTAATGAGGTTACAATGATCACCTGCTAACATGAATAGGTTAAATCATGACCCATAGTACATATACAGCACACACGTCCAGTACACTGCAGTAATGAGGTTACAATTATCCTCTGCTAACATGAATAGGTTAAATCATGAACCATAGTACATAATAGTACATAACATGTAGTTGTATATCTGTATATATGCAATGTGTGTTCATCTAAGGGACTACTTCCTCTGACTGCTAGTCTCATGAAATTTGGTGATGTCACTACCGTGCTGCTTACTGTTCTCCTTTCAGGAGAGGAAGCTGTACCGGGGGGCTGTACTATGAGTATCTTCCTGTTTTTTTTTCACTCTGTGGATCTGTGCTTCTTCCATCTCTTGCTGCTACTTCTATATTCCCTCAACAGTTATCAGAGCACCAGTCATGAGGAAGCAAAGCCCCGCTCCTCTACTGAGATGGCCACCTACACACAGAGACACAGTTCATAACAAGGAATAGTAAGTTAGTAATACGAAAAAATCAACGGCAGGGAACCTACAGACACTTCTGATATTTGCTTTTTTAGGGCATAGCTTCCACAGTTCAGGTCCTCTTAAAGGTTAACTGTTAGGGTTAAAGGTTTAACGGAAACCTGAACTAAAAAAGAAAAATGGGGGCTGTCATCCTAATTAACATGTTAGTTGCCTGATATTAAAGCTATTGGATCAAGATGTCAGGAAACTAGAATTTTCAGAACGAAATAAAACAATTGTCACCTACATGCTTCCCTCACTGGAGACAAAGTGATAAGGTCTTTGTAAAGGGCATCTGCCGAATCCCTTCAACTCACCTTACCAGCATTCACCCGCTGCTCCTGCCTCCTGCCTCCGTCATAGCACTAAGATCCCTAGTGTCCGCTGGTGTTGGACTCAACTAGGGGAGCATAGAGGTCACTCCCCCCCCAGGCTTTTTGCAGTGCTCATACCTAGTAATTGGTTGCTAGACCCAAGCACTGTCACATGGGAGAAAGTCCCATATGCCCATACCTGGAAACACTGGGTATTGTTGCCAGCTGTGAAAAAGAAAAGTGTGTCAATATTATCTAACTATTTGAAGTTTCCAAAGTGATTTTGTTACAAAATGTTAGTAAAAGTGATCCCATTTATTCCTTTACCACAGTGGAATATTAATCAGTCATTCGAAAACCTTTTTGTTAGCATTGTACTGTTCTCTGCTAATAAAGCTGGCTCTGGTCATAGCACATGATGGCCCACTTTTAAAAACAAAAAACTGACGGAATGAGGGCTGAGCCTGAGCCTGAACCCCTAAATTGAACAATTTCATGTCAGAAACCTTAATCACGATTTGGATACAGGCTCAGAGGAGAATTTATCAAAACTGGAGCAGACAAAATCTGGAGCAGCTGTGCAGGGCAACCAATCAACATACACTTTTCATGGTCAAAGCTTAACTGAGCAAATTGAAGAGAGAAGCTGATTGGTTGCCATAGGCAACTGCTTCAGATTTTGTCTGCTCCAGTTTTGATAAATTCCCCCCTCAATGTGTACAAATATTGCATCCCATTTCATTTTTACATTGATAGAAAAGTTTTAGCTCTGCAGCTTAGCAACATAATTTAAAAGGATATTCAGCTCAGGCTGCAGAAACTAAACAATCTCCCTAAATTGGGACTCTGGTGTTGAGCAGAGCATGGATCACACAACAATACAAGTTTTTTTTACAGCACCTGCTAAATTAAAGGTAACCGACTGCTAATTTGATTGTCAGTCTGCTTAATGTCATTTGGATCCAATGAAAATTGCAGTGTCTATAGGAACTTCCCAAATATAGCAAATATCCCAGCCAATCAATTTCAGATAGGCTGTTGACTGCTTTGGATTTGATTGCTGCAGGTGACTTCTGTTGAGTGTTTAGACATGAGGTATAATCATCAATCTGAAAAAACAAAAATAACTGTTTGGTGGTCAGGTATTGAAACCATGTCTAGTTTAACTTTAGAATGGCATACAAGGAGAACTGTGGAGTCCTTTTTGTAATTCGTAAGATGGCATTCTGTGTTATATATATATATATTTCAGTCTTTTAATGCTGTTACACTTTTTATCTTCTCTTTTTCAGAAATCCTGCCAAAAACCAGTGGACAAGTACATAGAATATGACCCAGTCATTATCCTGATCAATGCCATGCTGTGCAAAGTACAAGCATATAGACACATTCTGTTTAACACAAAAATCAATGTAAGTCACTAGACATGTCACACAAATTGCATTCAGTTAAGATAAGGAACATTGTTTGCCTACATTTACTACAACTAGAAAGCCCACATTACTTTGCAAACAAGTGATATCATTGGGAATATAAGTGCTATTAGTACACAGATAGCTTGAACTAAACCTGTGCATACACTGTGTCATTTGATGTAAGAACAGCTTTTAGGGGAATATTTATAAAGTAGTTAATCTAACATCCAAACATTCACTGTAGGTGAATCTTTCTGCTGCATGACAGCAATTGTTTCTTCACCAGTAAATGTGTGGTGAAAGTCACCTTTACTGCTTTAAATATATACCCCGTAGGGTAACCAAGATATTTTCTATTTGCATCAATCCAGATGTGAATAAGCTTCATTAAAGAATCCTGAGCCTGGGATATCAATGGGTATGTATGCCCTGCAGTATGGGTGCTGCAGCCTGATAAAGTTTAAACTGTCAAAAAAAAGAGGGGTGAGGAAGGGGAGAGGGGATGGTTAGGGAGGCAGCCGCAGAGCTCTTAAGTATATGAAAATATGGAGCACTGGATGTACAAGGTAATTATAGGGAGACTACCTCATGCCAGGTTCTTGAAGTATTCCAAACTCCTGAAGGCAATTTAAGAGGACCATCTTTTCATAAAAGAGTCATGCGTATCATTATATTTGGCTATTTTTTCCATCCTTATAATATGACATAGTTCCTTCACCCAGTCATGAATAAGAGGGTTGTTGGTGTTGTTCCAATATCTGGGAATAATAGCTCTGACTGCGCATAGGAGTAATCGTAGCAGATATTTCTTACCCGCTTAGAATAATTCAATCCTCAGGGTTAGCATGAATGCAGGGATGGAGGCACAGAAGACACAGCAGTCAGCGTTGGATCAGAGACCGGCACCAGCGCTGGAGGGACTCCTGAAAACTACTGGAATGAAGAAGATGATCAGATTTAGAGGCATCATTTAAAGCAGCATTGGGTGGCAGGAAAAAAATGTGACTTTAATGTCACTTTAAGTCAAGTAGGATAGTTTAATGGAGTTCCAGTAAAGGAAAGGTGTGATTTTCTTGCTGGAGGGAAGTCAGGATTATCAATAATTAGGATAAGAGGGCCCTATGCTGTAGAAAGATGATATTCGGGGAAGGGTTTTTCGGAGGAAGCCATGGTAATTATTATTATTATTATATAGGATTTATATAGCGCCAACAGTTTGCGCAGCGCTTGTTAGGTAATCTTGTCAGGCATAGGGTAGCGATGTCTTTTTCTACCAGGACCAATAAATGTAGGTTCTTTTCCTCAAACTAATCATTGACACGCATAATTATGGTTGCTTTAAAATACAGTTCAATGTCTGCTAAGGCAACACCACCCTGTCCCTTGTTCCTAGTGAGAATAGAGTTGTGGAGTCTCGATCTCTTCCCTCCGCATATAAATCTTGTAAGAGCAGAGACGGGCTAAAAATTGTCTGGCTATCGCTACAGGGACCGTTTGGAATAGATAAAGACAATAGGGTAGTATGTTCATCCTAAACTGTGCTAATACACCAAACCAGGTATGATTGAACGTTGTGCCTGATTGGTACATATGTCAGGAAGTATAGGTTTAGAGGTGATGTTATATAGTTTGTTATGGTTGGCCAATATATGTACACCTAAGTATTTCATGTGTATGTGGTCCCATTTTAAGGTAAATGTATTTTGGATATAAAGCTGTTCTGCTTAAAGTAAGGTTTTGTTAAGGGCTTCATTTTTTGTAGATTTACTTTTTAATCACTGATTAATGCCCTACATTCCCATAGACACACTCCTAAACCTTGTGGACGCCTTCCCAGAAGAGTTGAAACTGTTATAGCGGCAAAGGATGGGCTAACTCAATATTGAACCCTATGGACTAAGACTGGGATGCCATTAAAGTTCATGTGCGTGTAAAGGCAGGCGTCCCAATACTTTTGGCAATATAGTGTAAATAGGGTGACGAGGAAAACCCTGTCTTGTCTTGTTATGGATCAAGAAAGCTTGGCATAGTAAACCATTAATTCTAGCTGTAGGAGAAGTGTACAGTGCCATAATTTTCTCCACGAACTATCAGGGGAAGTAAGTGTGTATGAGTTATAGATAGATTTTCTGCATTAGAAAATAAGCAAAGCGGAATAATTGTCATCTACCTATTCCTTATGAATTTCAGAGGGTATATATATGGTTTCATATGATTTGCTAAGACTATTTAATATATTTTGAGGTCTATTTTCTTTTATCTGCTATAGATTTTTCTTTTGTGATAATACTCGCATAACATGTGCTTAGTAGTAAGGCAGTGTTTTTGTTTGTTTTACCAGATTCATGGCAAACTTTGTATATTTTGTCTGCTCTGCGAAGCCTACACTAGATGGCGACAGCTGTCTGGATCCAGCAACCACACAGATCCTGAGGATTTTATTCGATATGCAAAAGAATGGGATTTCTACAGGCTGTTTGGAATAGCTGCTTTGGGTATAACCAAACGTTACAATATCTATAGTCATACCATCATGTTATGAGATCTTGTACAGATTCTGAATTTAAAAACATCTGACAGAATAAAGGTATCTTTTATAATGATTTTATTTAACCATTTCAATACCCGCACATTAAACCCCCTTATTACCAGACCATTTTTTAGTTTTCAGTGATGTGAAAATTTGGCTAAGAATTACTCTGTCATGCAACACTCTAACCAAATTTATTTTATATCATATTTTTTTGAGACAGAGATTTGTTTTGGTTGTATTTAGTAACCACTTTTTCAATTTTCTACTATAGAAAATGTTGGAAAAACGTTACCCTTTCTATAACATAGCAAATAAAAAAAGTAGACATTCCAAGGTGATCTGATTTTTTTGGGAATTAAGTAAAATAGTGCCTGGTCTGCAGATGGTTACATTTTAATAAACAATCTAGTCTGTAATCTCTCCTCTAAGCCTAGAAGCCAAAACCCAAGCATTCTGATTGTTATTTTTTTTTCTACTCAAAAACATTTTAAAAATGTATTTAAATTAATATTTTTGGCTCATTGAAGGTTGCCTTGTGAGACCTCCAAAATGTAACACATTTACAGGACGCAATAATATATGTATTCATAAAGGTACATTTGCATGTTGTCCAATGCATTCATACATAAGGTAAAATGTGTATTTCTAATGATTTCCTTCACAGAACAGACAGCCTACCTCATGGGAATCTTCATTGTTCTGTTTCTGGCACTGCTCAAGCCTTTGAAGTCAGGTTCTGACTTTGCTCTTCTACTTAAAGCACTGTTGTTATCAAGTTATGGGAAGCTCCTGCTGATTCCAGCTGTCATTTGGGAACATGACTATACTCCCCTATGTCTAAGGCTTATCACTCTCTTTGTGCTGACTTCAAACACCCAGGCTATCCGAGGTAATACATTTCATTTTTGTTTTTAAACTGTAAGACTGGCCATATACTGTTTGATTTTTAGCTAGTTTCTGCTGAATGTGGCCAAATTCAAGACATGGGTGGCACTGTCATCACAACCCCACCCTGGGCTCAACACAAGTCAAAGCGATTTCGCTTGCATCCAAGCAGATGCTGTTCTTGTATTTGGCTGCTGATTCCAGATATCCACTATCCATGCTGGTAAACATGCATGGGGAAGTTGATGGATATCTCACATTCAGCCCGCAAGGCTGAACGAGAGACATTTGAAGTGTGTATGGCCAGAGTTATTACTAAACTTTAGGTAATGAAGATATTTAATTGAAGGAAAAAATGTTCTGCTTATAAACGGACTATAAATTAAATATTATATCTCCATGCTAGACTATCATATTTTAAAGGAGAACTATGGGGTTCTATCTTTTCTTGATTAATGCATTCCTTAGGCTAAATAAGTAAATTATGTAATTTACTCTAATTAGCCAAAATGCACAGTAAGGCTGTAAACCCTTATTTAAGGTGGTGGGCGGGGCTAAGCGCCGCAATGAGGAGACATCCCGACGTGTCTGACGGGATCCTCCTCACTGTCACTGACAGTGATTCTTGAGAGCTGCTGCGCGTCCACGAATATATGGACATGCGCAGCAGCTCTCTCCTTACCTGCACTTCCCCGTGTGCCAGCTCCTTCCCCTCTCTCTCTCTCTCTCCCTGCCCTGTGTGACACTGACATAATAAAAAGATCGTGGATCGCTGATGACAGAGGGGAAGGAGCCCTCTCTCTCTGTTCAGCATTTACTACAAATGGGAACGTCCATATATGGTAAATTATGTCACTGGAGATCCCTGCAGATCGATGCTTGCCAGTCTGCAGGGATCCCCGCGCAGCAGCTCTCAAGAATCACTGTCAAGAATCACTATCAAGAATCAAGAATCCCACACCTCCTCCCAGGCATCGTCCGAGAGGTCCGGCACATCCACCACCCACTTCAGCCTGCAAGGGAGTTTATGTACACCTGCCTTAGCTGACAGGGCTTGGTATACCAGTGATAAAGGCTTTTGTAGACCCTCCCGCCGAAGGAGGGATTCCAAAGGCGAGACGGTAAGAGCGCAGTGTGACCTCCCCCCCCCCATTTGCCGTATTTGAAAGTACCTAAACAGGTAATTGTTCGTAAGGTTAAATTTCCCCTGCAGTTCTGCGAAGGAGGCTAGTGAACTGGTCAAAGTTAGATCCCCCACGGTCCTTATTCCCCTCTCCGGCCAGATATTGAAGTCAGGAATATCCATAAAGTGTCGCAGTTTAGGGTTATTCCACAGAGGGGCATGTGGCGACATATATGGGGATTGTCAGGATAGAGGAGTTTACACACCTCATCCCAAGCCTTAAGTGTTGCTGTCATGGATACCGTCAGAGTGTATGGTGCCCCCACCCCTCTATACACCAACCCGGTCAAGGCTGCATAGGACCCCACCGAGGTGGCCTCCGTCACCACCACCGCATCACTATCCTCCGCGGTTAGCCAACGATGGACCCCCACCATCTGCCCAGCTAAATAATATTTTTTGAGGTTGGGTAAGGCTAAGTCCCCCTGTGTCCAGGGCTCTTGGAGGAGACTACGTTTAACCCGCGGAGTCTTGTTATTCCACACAAAGGAGGAGAACAGCTGATGCATCTTTTTAAAGAAAGCATTGGGTATATGTACAGGGGAGTTACGCAAAAAGTAGAGCAGGACTGGGAGCACCTTCATTTTGATAAGGTTAGTGCGTCCAATTAGAGTCAATGGCAGATGCATCCACGCCTCCAACCTGCGCTTAGTGGTGAGGAGTAAAGGAAGGACATTCAGTGCATAATAATCCTCTACCTTGGCAGTAATAGTGACCCCCAGGTAAGTAAGCCTGTCCACCCACTGGAGAGGGAGGTCTGGGTCCACCTGTGAGCGTGTCAGGGGGTTTAACGGTAAAATATGCGACTTTGACCAGTTCACCCACAATCCTGAAAAAACAGCAAACTTTTCAAGCACCTCCAACACCGCGCGCAGGGAGGGTCCTGCATCAGAGAGGAACAGAATGAGGTAATCTGCATATAGATGTAGCCAGATGTTCCTCAATTCCCCCCACCCGGATACCCCGAATGTGTGGAGAGGAGCGGAGGGCCACCGCCAGGGGCTCCATCACAAGAGCAAATAGGCCTGGTAATAAGGGGCAGCCCTGACGTGTGCCCCGCTCCACCTCAAAAGGTGCGGAAAGTGCATGACCAATCTTTAGAGCCGCCCTGGGTCTATTGAACAGTATAGCAATCCATTTCTGGAATCGTGGGCTGAAGTTCATATGGTTCAGCACCTGAGACATGAATCCCCAATCCACCGAATTGAATGCCTTGGCAATGTCCAGGGACACCAACGCTCCAGTGCCCCCCACATCCCGTGATAGGTGCAAGTGGGTAAAAACACAACGCAGATTGGCGTCCATGGACTTGCCCGCATGAATCCCGTCTGATCAATGTTTACCAGGGAGCCAATCACCTTAGACAAGCGGGTAGCCAGAACCTTAGTAAGGATTTTCAGATCCATATTAAGAAGGGCTATGGGTCTGTAGTAGGAACATAGAAGGGGGTCCTTGCCGGGCTTGGGAAGGAGAACAGCATGAGCATCGCGGAAAGAATCAGGAAGCTCACCGGATATTAAAGCAGACAAGTACACATCCCGAAGCCTGGGTGCCAGCCTCTCAGCATGTAATTTATACCATTCCACGGGCATACCATCCGGGCCCGGGGATTTTTCCTTTGGGAATGAAGAGATGGCAGCCAGAATTTCGGGAACCGAGACGTCCGCATCCAAGAGCTTACCATCCGCCTCCGCCAGCGTCGGCAAGGACAACCCCACCAGAAGCTCATGCAGGTGAGCAGAGTCATAGCCCGGAATCTTGGAATAGAGGGTCTGATAGTCGGAATGGAATTCCTGTAGGATGGCCTGTGGTTCAGTAACTCTAGCCCCCCTCTCAATCAGAATACAGGGAACATCGGTATGATTCCTCTGGTCTGCAACCAGCAAGACTAGAAATTTTCAATTTTTGTCCCCCCGTTCAAAAAGCGACTCTCGGAGTTCCCTTAAGGAGCATCTAGTCATCTCCACATGATGGAGATTCAGAGACCGTCGTGCCGTTCGGAGCTCCGCCAGAGATGTCTTCCCAGGGGAAGTCAGAAAGGCCGCAGAAGATGCTGATTCCTTCTTCTGTAGGTCATCTAGAACTGCATTGAACTCTATAAGAGACGCTTTGATAGCAGACACAAATTCCCCTCATATATTGGCCTTAAATGCATCCCATACAATATTGGCAGAAGCTGTACCCTAATTTTCTCCCAGTATCCCTCCATAGCAGAGATCATGCGGCTGGATACCATTTCCACACTCGGCCAACTCGGTGACAATCTCCAACACCCAGAACTCCTAGAACCTGGTAGCAACAGGGAAACGGAGAGCGCAACATGGCCCGACAGACCTCCAGGCAAGTAGGATGCCCCGACCTCCAAGTTAAGTAGGGCCCTGTTGCCAAAGGCCATATCTATGCGAGCCGAGGAGCCATGGGTGTGGGAGAGATGGGAGTATGCACGGTGTCCCGGGTTTTTCCACCTCCAGACTTCCTCCAACCCGGCCGTGTCCACCCAGGATATAAGATCCAACCCAGCAGGTCTGGCTACATTAGAGGAGTCCAAGGAAGGGTCCAAAATATTATTGAAGTCACCCGCTATGAGGACCGGCATGGGAAGGTAGGCAGCAAGTTTATTGAAGACCGTGTACAATACCTGCACATTGAAGGGGGGTGGTACATAGACATTTACAATAGTGAACTGTAGTGCATACATATTCATGATCAAAATAAGAAACCGTCCCCCAGGGTCCATTATGGTGTGAATAATGGAACATGGAAGGGATCTACTGATCAAAATAGACACTCCCCTGGCATATACTGAATATGTAGCATGAAAAGTTTTCTGGAGCCAAGGGCGTCTCAACGACAAAATCTTGCTACCTGTTAGATGTGTTTCCTGTAAAAGGATAATGTGCGGTCTCTGTTGTTGCAGGTAGTTAAGGATCATAGAGCGCTTACATTTATCGTTGAGACCCCTCACATTCCATGACAGAATATTAAGGCGTTCCCCCATAGAAAAACCATAGATACATGTGTGTCCCAGGATATCACAATGAACACAGTGAGCCGGCTAGACATATGACAAGCAGTGTCAACCTTCTGCGTAGAGCATGAAAAAGGCATATTTTTTGCTTGCTAGTAAATATAAAAATAACCGTAACCATTAGAAACTTGTACCCAAAAAAAACTCCCGTCCAATTGTCAGAGCACCCCCAGTGAGAAGTGTACCAGTTTAAAAACCAAGAAGAGGGCAAAACAGTAGCCAGTGTGTAGTATGGTGGAGAAACCGCCGCCTCCTATGGGATAATAGGCCAGCCACATAGGGCAGAAGTGTCAGTGTCTCCATGTTTAGATGAATCCAAAAATGAGAAATCCGTGGATCCCGGCCTCAGCTCAGGGGCCGCGGTACAGCAGGCAGCAGGTAGGCAGGATGGGAAGAGGTGGCATCAGCCACCAAACAAGGCACCCCAAGGAGGAAAAATCTAGGCGAACAGTTAGTGAAACAACAGACCCCGTCTACCGCACGGTATCCAGCCAATCTTCCGCCTGGGCCGGGGTGTCAAAGAAATGGACCGTGCCCGAGTGCTGGACCCTCAACTTGCTCGGGTAGTACATGCCATATTTAATGCCTTTCTCCCGGAGCCATCGCCTGACCTCAACGAATGATCTCCTCCTCTTCTGTATCTCCGCGGAGAAGTCAGAAAAAAATCTAAGTTGTGCATTCCCACAGCAGACATCAGGGCATCTACGAGCAGCAGCCAGGATCTTGTCTCTGTCCCTGTAGTTCAGGAGGCGAGCCAGAAAGGGACGCGGAGGGGGCCCCCGGCGGTGCCCTACTGGTGGGAACTCTGTGGGCACGTTCAACCACAAAAGTAGGGGGCAACTCATCCAGCTCCTCAATTTTTGCAGTGAGGGAGACCTGGCATCCCTCGATCGCCGCCAGTGTGGCTGATGCCCCTAATCCCGCCGGAATGGGTGTTGCTGGGCCCCCGGGCATAGGAGTCTATGGCAAGGTAGCACTCACCCCCTCCACGCCATCTCCCTCCATGTCCAGCCGCTGCGTGGGAGATACAGGGACGGCGGTCGGCAAGTCCAAGATGGCGCCGGCAGATCCCGCGCCTGAGCCCTTCACCTTCCGAACGGATCTCAGAAGAGCTGCGGCCTGCCGACGAGACCTGGCGGACATAGATCTGTTTCCAGGTAAGTCCGGCACAGGATGGAGGACTGTGCGAGCACGGGGATCACGCCAGGCAGGAGAAATTGCAGGATAATGGAGTCGGAAGCAGCGGAGCTCCACCAGACATGTGTAGTCCGCTTCACATCGTAGCCACGCCCCCAACAAAACTTATTCTTAAACGGAGCATGTGGAGAGGAAAATAACTAAGCTGCCATTGCTGATAATGTATTCAAAATGCTAGTTGTATGGCTTCATGCTTAGTTATTTAGCACTAACCAGCATGCAGTCCGTAAGAACGGCTTATTTTTATACTTGTTTCAGGTCAGGAAAAATATTAAACCCCAATTGAAGCCCTACATTTCTTACTTGTTATGCAGTCAGTCTAAAACAGAGTAAAACTTGCCTAAATTCAGGGTCCTGCCATCTCCCACCCACCCCACTGCTGATTTTCTCCCACCACCCCCACCAGTTTTGGTAGTGATGACTGGTCCCACAGTCTGGTTACAGTTTTCATGCTTCTATAACTCCCCAGAGTTCTACTTCATAATTTAGTGCAGGGTTTACTCCTCTCTCCACTGGCAATTTAATCTCACCTGGAACCTGTAGTCAGAGCTCTCGGTCTGGGGATCAGACAAGTCCTGTCTGAGGGCCCATTCACACCACATCCAGATCATCTCCAGACCAGACCAGATTGTTTCCGGACCCAAAATGCATCCTAATGTATCCCTATGCTATTTCTGGCCTCTGTTCACACCAGCGCAGCCCGTGCAGACCAGACCAGAAAAATATTGCATGTCTCATTTTGTCTGGTCTGGAATGCACTGGAACTGCGGGCAGGTTCACACCATTTTCTGGACCAGATCGGGTCCGGAAAATTGTGTGAACCTGCCCTGAGAGAGCTGCAAGGTTGGTGAAAACTAGCAAATGGTGTAAGTGGAGGCTGACAAGTGGTAGGCCTGCTCAGCCTATTAGTTAGGACCTATATTTTATGCGTATGAAGTTAGTGCCGGGGGTAGGCTAGGATTTATTTTTGTTAGATTCTTGTGAACCACTGTACAGCACCTGTGACTGCTCTTGTAAATATCAACAATAAACACTGCACTGTTTGCCACTACTCCCTTGGTTACGGTATCTGTGCCCAAGAGACTGCTTATTCCCAGGGGGCTTATGTACCAGCTACTGATCGCCAGCTCACAATATATATATCTTTTTTTTTTTTCCCTTAGTGACATTGAATGTGAGTCGAGCCCTCTCCCTTGTTGCCATCACCTGTGGATTGCTTTTGGAAAAAGCACTTTGCTCCATTCAGTGGACTCTTTAACACTTTGTGGGTATCCTGGAAGATGACAGGAAGGTCATCTGTTTAATCATGTCCCAACATTCTAAACAATTAGCCTTCTGGTCTTGGACAACAATTTTTATTCAGGGGTACTTTTGAAAATAGAACCATATTGCATCTTTTACATGTATTATATGTCTTTCATGTCCTTCAGTATATTTATAAACATGTGTTTTTAATAAAGCAAACTAATTTTTTGAAAGGAAATACTACATTTATTTAGCGGTATGATTACTGCAGTATTTTTTTAGAAGTCTTTTACTGAATTTTCAGTTGTATATGCACACAAAAAACTATAACAGAAATCAAATTATACATATCCAAGGTTTCTAATTGAGATTGAAACGAGAGAGTAAAGAAAATGTGTATATTTATACTGTGATGTAACAGTAGCAAAACCTGTTGAATGTGGACATGAGATCAAAATGTGAACATTTACTTTATTATATGAACATATAGAAATGTTCTCATTGCTGGTAAGGAAGCTGTACCTGTGGATCTGCAGTGCAAGGATCTCCCGGCTTCTGCTTCCTTCATTCTGTGTATCTGTAATTTCTCCACCTCTCCTGCTGCTTCTTAAAGAGGAACTTTACCTATATCTTTAAAATGACAACAAAGGCACATTTAGAAATCTTTAGTGATGGCAATCTATAAACAGATACTTATAGATAATTTCAGGCTTTTTATTCTTTGCATACATTATTTTTCTTTTCCTCCCCAGTCTTCTCACAGTGGCCATTTTTATTGAATCCATCTCCCTTTTCTTCCTGGAGCTCTGGCACTTGTGACTAGGACATGTGACAATGCACATTATCTCAGGGGAGGAAAATGCCTTTCCCTGAGATATTGTGAGATTACAGTTCTGCATAAAAACCTCACCCCACTGCGCTAAAATATGATGATTAAAAGCAGCAGCCTAAAGGTGGCCATACACCTTGCAACCATTGTACAACTTTTTTTGTCCAGACATCTCACCCTCATTAAATTTTCTTACAACTAACCAATCATGCACAGACCAGTGTAGTTCGCAATTAACACTGGTCACCACCTGGCCAATGTTTATTGATCGAAAGGACAGATTTTCGTTTGAGCATGTGCAGTTTTCATCTTGAGATTTTTGTTGTACAACAACGCCACTAACCTGTCAATTTTCATCCAACTAGACCAGTGAGGGCGAACCTTTTTGAGCCGGAGTGCCCAAACTGGATCACTAAACCAACTTATGTATCTCAAAGTGCCAACCCTTCAATTAGACCTTATTCATTAATACAGGCTTTGAATACTTAATTGTCGGCTGCCGCAGCTCTCCGTGTTCCTCCGCGGCAGCCGAAAATGGTAAAATAGTCCCCTCTCTTCTGCTGTCAGTTCAGCGGGGGAGAGAGGGAACTACTGTATAACAATATTAATTGGACTGGGACCGCTATCGCTGCGTCCCTTTGGTAATGCGGACCTGGGCTCGCGTGCCAGCAGAGGGGGCCCCACGTGCCCACTCTGGCACGCGTGCCATAGGTTCGCCACCTCTGAACTAGACAAAAGATTGCTAGTCAGTATTAAATATGCAGCGCTAAGAACCCCTATTTCCCTAAAATAAATTAATCAATTAGGTTAAAAAAATATATAATACATTAGATAATTGATGAAAGAATAAGTTAATACATAATTAAATTTGTGCAAAATAGTGCAACATAGTGTATGCAGATGAATACTCAATTCATAACATGATCGCCTAGTTGTGATTTCCTTAGTTCATACAATTAAATATATTAAATAGTCCATACATGTGAAAAAACGATTCTTCAAAGTTCATATCACACCCAGAGTGATAAGTAGGTAATCCATATGTGAAAGATAACCAATAAGTGCAACGTATATGGTCCCAAAGTGCTCGGTGATTGTTCCAAAAAGTTTCCTTGTGCCACACAGACACCCCCCTAGGAGTGCGCACTCACCACATATAGATGGCTGTAAGTTACCAGCCAAAGCTCACTGATAAGCAAAAAGATCCCCAGCGTCTACCTTGTATGTTTCCACTGCGATGTCCCGCATACAATGATGTCCCCGCATTCATAAGAATTAGAAAAAACTCCTCATTGTGCAGCAAGTTAGATACATTTTATAAAAAAAATTAAAAACTCACATCAACATTCAGAAATAACCGGCCGGTAAAGTCCAACAAGCGCCCGAACTTCCGCATTCGGTGTAGCGTCAAACAGACCCGTCTCCGACGCGTTTCGTCATCAAAATGCCTTCAAGGGAACAACAGGTCTCTTTTTTTCTAGCCTGCTTTAAAAAGACAAAAGTTTTGTAGCCTGCTTGAAAGACAAAAATGTGCTAGTTATACAGTAATTGAGGCTGTAGACTCCTCATCAACTGGCAGATTTTTGGACGAAGACAAAAATCTCCAGATAATTGTAAAGTGTATGGGCACCTTAACTCTGTAATCAGATGAAGTGTTAAAATGGTAAAAAAAAAGCCGCGCTGTGCCGTTAATATATACTATAATAATACTAGATGTGAATATAAATCTAATATTCCTCCAATCAAGAGAACAAACTCTGAATATCCTCCAAAACAAAGAAAAAAAATGAATGAAGAATATATAAATAGT